TTGGTGAGATGTTGGGGTCACCTTTACAAAGAATATCTACGTTTATGTCGCCTTCGTACCATTCTAATTCGGTAATGAGTGTTCTTCGTAAATTAGAATACAAAGGACAAATAAGGAAAAAATGATTATCTTCACAGGGATGCCCACACCCGCAATCAGCTGAACCGACTAGATTTGCTCTGAAAGGATCATAATTTAATGAGCTAGCTCGATTTCTAAGTCGACAAAGGAGTATATGTAATTTTCTCGGTCCATAGTTTACGAAATGCTTGCTAAACAAATTATTTACTATCATAGACTTTTTTACATTAGACTTGAAAGAATTTAGTGAGGGTGAGTTTCTTACAGTGTTGTTCAAGTTGTTCCAGAATTTTAATGTGGAAGGAAAGAAAGATTTTTTTGATAGTTGTAAACGGAAGTGCTGTTCCCGCAGTAAATGTGCATTTCGCAAATTATACGGAGCTATATTTCCAATATACATTGGTAATAAGTCAGTAAGAAATTGAGGTGCCATGTTATTTACTATAGAATAAAACAAGGAAAGTTTCCGATCATCTCTTCTTTTCGAAAGGGGTAACCATCCAATTTCTTGATATCAGAAATCTTTTTTAGTGCATGTGGGCAGCCCTGTTACTATTCTTGAAGCTTCTAGATGGATTTTTCTAGTAACAGGGCATTTGTTTCACCGCAGTTGTCCCATACTTCACATGCATATTCCAGTAGTGGTCGAACATAAGTAAGATATAGTTTTTCTAATGTATTTCTTTTTAAAATAAGTTTTAGTTTACGAAGGGTTGCTATATATTTTGTTACTTTACTGACAATATATTCAACATGAACATTCCATTTACAGTCGTTAGTAAGAATAACACCTAAGTGCTTATGTTGGTTAGTTATTTGAATGGGGGTATTATTAAATGTGAATGCAGGGATGAATGGAAGTTGCCGATTTGAGATGAATAGGGCCTCAGTTTTGGTAGGGTTAAAAGACATCAGCAATTCTTTGGACCAAACTTCAAGTTTTCTCATATCAGAGTTTGCATTGGATGAAATTGTGTTCAAGTCTTGGGACGAATAAGAAAGAGTGGTATCATCAGCAAAAAGTCTAGAGAGAGAGGAAAGATCACAGGAAATATCATTTATATATATAAGGAAGAAAAGAGGACCAAGAACAGAACCTTGAGGAACACCAGCTTTTATGGCCTTAAAGAGGAAGAAAGAGAATCATTGATAAAAACCGCCTGTTGTCTGTTTGAAAGATAACTAGTTATCCACTGAAGAAGAGGGCCAGAAATGCCATAATTATTCAATTTATGTATTAGACCTCTGTGCCAGACGCGGTCAAAAGCTTTTGAAAAATCACAAAATATTAATAGAGAATGTTCTTAATTGTCTAAAGAGGTAACTATTGAATGATATAGCTCAATAAGTTGATGTGTTGTGGAATGGTTAGGTAAGAGTTCTGACTGATATTTGTAAAAAAGGTCATTTTCAATCAAAAAGTTATATACATGTTTATAAACCAAACGCTCAAACAGTTTTCCAATACAGCTTATCAATGAAATTGGTCTGTAATTGGAGGTAATACTTGCATCATTCGCTTTATAGATAGGCATGACATGAGCGATTTTCCAGTTATCAGGATATGTACAAGAAGACAGAGAATAATTAAAAATAATGGATAGCGGTACAGAAATCTCGCTAGATAATAATTTGAGCATTTTATGGCTAATACCGTCAGGACCTGATGCCTTATTTACATCTAGAATTTGTATAATATCTTCAACTTCACTGGGAATTATATTTATTTCTGATAAGATGGAGTCAGTCCTCCTCTCAAAAAAAGGCAATTCTTTGTCTGTATCAAATTCTGATAACGAACACACAGAACTAAAGTAGTTATTTAAGAGTTCACATTTTCTATCGTTGTCATAAATTATTTCATTTGTAGTGACGTCTAATAACGGGTATATTTCGGTGGGTTTTTTTAGCTTTAAGAATATTTCGGAAAAGTTTCCAATAAATCTTCGGATTGTTGTTACTTTTATCAATTACTGTATTTATGCTATCATAAAATATTTCTTTAGCTCTCTTAATCATATTATTTACTTTATTTCTCATGTATTTGTACTTGTTTTTGTTGCACTCACTGTTATTGTTAAACATTATTTTTTTGGTCTATCTCTTTTCCTAATATTACGTCTTAACAATCCATTCATCCACGGTTTATCACTATCGCGTGCTAATACTACTTTTGATGGTATACATTTGTCAACGGCATCAACAAATTTCTCGGTAAAGAAATTGCACATTTCATTAATATTTAATAAGTTAGCAAGATTGGCTAACCAAGGGATACTATTTATCGTGTCTTTAAGAAATGCCAGAATTATCTCAGTTTCTTTTTTAGCGAAAGCTGAACTTCACTGTCATCAATGCTGCTCGAACATCACCTTCGAAACGTCGACTGAGAGTATTATTATCTACAACTTACATTGCGGAGGCAAATCCCTGCTACCTTCAATGTACACTATCTAAATAATAAATTTATAATACTTATTACAACTATCCCCATATAAAATACACATATGTACTCATATATCTAAAAAAGATAACGAATGTTACATGTAGCACATGTTCTTATTAATCTAATTGCTAAAAGCGCAATAAACCGTTCTCCTATGTTATAAGTATTAAAAACTATTCAGGGGAATTAAAGACGTGCATGTTCGCGGGAAGGACTACTTAAGATGGTGAAAGTTAATTTAAACATTTTTTCTAAAACATATGAAAAACATGTGGATTGGCAAGTTTTTAAAAATACTTGAAATACGGAATGATAAACATATGCAATGTTAGCTGTAAAATAAACAGTTTAGAAGAGGTAAAAAGAATTTGCGTAGGGAACGAACAGGTGAGTCTTCTTTTAGAAACCTACGTTTAGTAACCTACGTTATGTTTTGATATTTTTGGATATAACTAACGTTGAACAAAGACCGAGCGAAATATCCACCTGAATAAATAAAAAACAGAATTCCACAAATTCCGTAACATTTGTTAATCCCATTCCGAGTAGTCATGAGGTCATACATCTTGAGTCTATTTTTTCTTTGTCGAAAGGTTTCCTTCTGTTCAGTCAAACAAGTTTTGCTATGTTTACTTATTGTAGTTATACGTCGTTGTTTAACGTTTTAATCAAAACAATTATCGAGTTGGTAAGCTGGAATGAGGGTCGAGGTGGAGGGGAGGGGGAGAGAGAGATGGGAAAGATAACGTACAACGACCGTCGGTGTGAAACTGGAATGTTATTGCAATATTTGAAATGTCTGGCCGTTTAGTATAATTTTTATTGGAATATGTCTGACTAACTAATGTACATATCAAGGTAACGGATAAAGAAAACATCTTAAGTGCGCCGATGTTTAGATAATTCTAGAATAATTATACATGAAGTCACAAGGAGGGGCGAAAGTAAACTATTACAGGAAAAAACACCTGAATTCAGCTACAGGAATGTAGGATCGCCAACCTTATATTATATTTGGGACGAGTGTGAACATTGTCACAGCATGTAGTAGTTACAACGCGTAATTCAATTTGGAGAGCGAGAGTCGGCCGGGAGGGAAACATCAACTCACATCTTATTTTCATCGCTCGATACAGATATCGGCTGAAACGTAGGGAAATCTAATATAAATTTTCGATCTGACGTTATAAATGTTTATATAACAGTGTTTTTCTTTTGTTCCGACAGATATATCAGTAACACCCATCACCAGATAGATAAACTCCCCTGGCGGCTGTTTTTAGAAATATGTGTTGGTTTAATTTTCGACTGGTCTCGTAGGCTCGCCAACGAAAATCCGGATACAGAAAAAATGTTCAATACATCTACACGGAAACCTTCAAAGAGACTGAATATTTTCCATATGCCACGAGCCTTCCGGCGTAAGAATCCCTTTGTACTAAATGGTTTATTCAAGGGAGTTAATAAACGCTGTTATTCCATACGAAAAAGGTGATGACTTTCTGCGCTAATTTTTACACATTAATGTGTTTGTAAACTCTTTTAGAAGCCGTTTCATGGAATGAGGATATTTTGTTATGATCAAAAGGTCTGGAAATCGATTTTATCATGACGTTATAATTAAAGCCAAGTAAGCCAATCACATCGGCACCCAGAGTTTTACATGGTTCTCATTTGCACCGTATTTGTAATGGTTATACCTGTTGCAATTTCCTATACAAACACTAGGCTTACTAAACGAAATTAGGTTCATAAGGCTATGACCGCAATGGAATCGGTGTCATTTTGACGTTTATCCTCCCGTCTCGAATAACGTGTGACCACCGTAAAAAGCAAACATTATATGTGACGTTATGTTATTTCATGAGTTTCGTTTGCAATGTTCTATATCCAAACTTTTACTATGGCAAGCCAACATTTATTCAAGGAGCAATGTTAAACCCGCTTTTCATCAAATTATAAAAGATCACTTGCGTATCTTATAAGATAAATACGTCTTACACATTGTTTACGATCTAATCGACATTTTGCGGCATTAAAAATGGGAAACTAAATTTCTTATATTTCACGCACCCTTGAGGTGGGCTCCGACATCATGACAACAGGACCACGTGCAAGCCACTGCTTTCTCTAGTACAAGAGAACATCGACAAATTCCGCGTGGGGAGACTTCGGGTTTTAAAATTTAAAGCTTGGTCGCACAGAGTATCAATTTTAAACAAAATCAACTTACCAGATATGCAACAAATACCTTCACAACAAAAAATAATATCAACAAGCCAAACTATTGTATGATATCTGTTCATTATGTTATCCTGATAAAATAGTAGCCGCTTCCTACCGTCTCGGCTTGGGAGAATTTCTCTTTAGCTCATTCGGTAGAGTGTAAGACAAGTAAGCCAGAGGTCCCGGGTTCGACTCCTAGCGGAGGCATTGAAAAAATAATGGCCTCTATTACAATTATAAAACTTACCACATCAAATATCTGTGTGATGCTGAGTCCGATTTTAACGTTGACCGGATGTGATGCGTTGTAGACAGGCCTAGTTTTATTATTATAGGACCGCATCAGGATCATAAGGAGGCGCTGCTCGTCCGTCAGTCGGGGATTGCTCTCCTTGAGGCAAGACTCCATAGTCTCGTTTTTAGCGTCAGCTGAAAGTGTAATCAAGACTTTTATTTACCTAACAAATCATGGATTGGTCTGAATGCCTCCAGCATGTTAACAGCCGTTATTAGTTTGCGAGTGGTTGCCTTCTAGCGTCTCGGATAAATCAAATTTGCGGCAGGGCAGAGTTTATTTATTTTACTTTCCTCGTGGTAATATCCAATAGACACATATTGTACCTTGTACGTGCTAAAACCACCATTCACTAGTAATGGTCTGACTATAAGCACATTCGATAATTACTTTATGGTTTTCAGCGGCTATGTATAAAATTGCATTATCGTGAAGTACTTTAACACAACACAGATAAAAAAATCGCCCAAGTGTTAAAAGCACATATACGTGTAATATTCATTTGGAGCATAATATGGAACTCATGCTCTGTTTTAAACCTTTTTTCTTTTTCCAAAAGGTGGAATTTTCCTCGTATATGACTAACTAGAAAATGTCAACCTTCGCGATTTGTAAGTGTCAAAATTGTAAAAACTCTGAGCTTATTAAGTGTTTTTCTAGAATCCTTCCCCCGAGAGTTTGGAGTAGCTCATTTAGCCACTAAGGGATGTATCAATGTTTCCTTACCCTGTTAAACGCATAAGCTGTATGAACGTGTCATTGTATAAAAACGTATTAATACTGTTACTTTAATTGATTGAGACGCTTCACGCATTATCACTTCACAAATTATAGGTCTAATTGAAGATTAATTGAACAGCCGACACAATACTTGGATAATTTGATATTATGAGTCTTTTGATTTATTATGTAAATTGATATAAATGAAAAACAAAATACTCAAAATAATGTGTTAATGTGTGTTACTTAAAAAACTTATTCCTCTTCAGGGTCGCACGTGAAACTAAAAGCGCAACGGAGAAATACGCCAGTCCCGTGTAAGAGAATAACCTGTTCCAATCTCCTTTGTTATGCATTGTATATTAATTTCACACAGATACAACATAACTTCACACGACACGTTATCGCTTCCATCTAGACCTCTCTGTGACGGTTGATGCTTATGTTGTAAATACACTTGGCAGTCAGCGCCAAACGATGATATAATGGATACACGGACCGATGTCCATAGAGACTAAACCACGCAAAAAGTGTCTGGAAATAACAGAACAAGCACACAACAGTTTCCAGTAATGTCCGCCATGTTTTATGACGTGTTCTGGTCGCTACGGAGGCGATTGTTTGTGATATATTAATCATCGTATGGCAAACAATACGATGTAAGTAATTAACAATGGCATTCATAACTTACATGAATGCAAGCTGAATTTGGTTGGTAATGCAGTGACATTCATGTAAGTTATGAATGCCATTGTGAACAATTGATGACGTCATCATTATTATGACGTCATAATTGTTACGGATATTACTGACCCTCCCCGGGCGATGGTTGTTCTATTCATTGAACAAGCATACACGAAAAAATCATTTTTTTAACTAAATGCTGAATAATATTAAGTGTAATTGATTTTTTATGAGATGAACAAATTCCAAAAATGGTAAATATAAATATTCAACTGCTTTCAGTTGGCATTCATGGGCATTATGAGCGCTTCATTGAATTTGCCTTTGTCCAGTTGGCATTCATAATGCCGATGAATGCCAAGTGAGAGCAGTTCAATGCTTAAAAAACAATGGGATTCACATTTTTTAACTTTTTTTCAGAACATTTGACAAATATTAAAAGACTTAATCATCTGTGAAATATTTAGGAGTTATTTTAGTTTTGTTTGTCTTAACCAGAAATATGCGATCGTTAATCAATAAAAATAAGGGATCTTGCTCGGAGGTGAATATAATTGAATTTCTGTAATATCTAGTAATTTTCCCGAAATCTAAATGTGCTTGCAGACATAATTTTTGGTCCAATAATTTTTGAATGACGTCATAGACTTACAAAGCTTTCAATAAAACTCACAATATCAACACACGAAGCTAATTGACAAAATATTAGAACACTTGAAATTTTCCAATTTCGAAATTGCAATCAAAAGTGACTTTTAGATACATAGTAAATAAACAGTTCTATGCACCTACATTGGTATACCATTGTAAGTAAACAGTTCTATACACCTATATCGGTATACCATTGTAAGTAAACAGTTCTATACTCCTACATTGGTACACCATAGTAAGTAAACAGTGTTCTATACACCTACTTTGGTATACCATTGTAAGTAAACAGTGTTCTATACACCTACATCGGTATACCATTGTAAGCAAACAGTTCTATACACCTACATTGGTATACCATTGGAAGTAAACAGTTCTATACACATACATTGGTATACCATTGTAAATAAATAGATCTATACACCTACATTGGTATACTATTGTAAGTAAACAGTTCTATACACCTACATAGGTAAACCATTGTAAGTAAACAGTTCTATACCCCTACATCGGTATACCATTGTAAGTAAACAGTTCTTTGCACCTACATTGGTATACCATTGTCAGTAAACAGTTATATACACCTACATTGGTATATCATTGTAAGTAAACAGTTCTATACACCTACATAGGTAAACCATTGTAAGTAAACAGTTCTATACCCCTACATCGGTATACCATTGTAAGTAAACAGTTCTTTGCACCTACATTGGTATACCATTGTCAGTAAACAGTTCTATGCACCTACATTGGTATACCATTGTCAGTAAACAGTTATATACACCTACATTGGTATAACATTGTAAGTAAACAGTTCTATACACCTACATCGGTATACCATTGTCAGTAAACAGTTCTATACACATACATTGGTATACCATTGTAAATAAATAGATCTATACACCTACATTGGTATACTATTGTAAGTAAACAGTTCTATACACCTACATCGGGATACCATTGTAAGTAAACAGTTCTATACACCTACATTAGTATACCATTGCAAGTAAACAGTTATATACACCTACATTTGTATACCATTGTAAGTAAACAGTTCTATACACGTACATTGGGATACCATTGTAAGTAAACAGTTCTATGCACCTACATCGGTATACCATTGTAAGTAAACAGTTCTATACCCCTACATCGGTATACCATTGTAAGTAAACAGTTATATACACCTACAGTGGCATACCATTGTAAGTAAACAGTTCTATACACCTATATCGGTATACCATTGTAAGTAAACAGTTCTATACCCCTACATCGGTATACCATTGTAAGTAAACAGTTCTATACACCTAGATTGGTATACCATTGTAAGTAAACAGTTCTATACTCCTACATTGGTACACCATAGTAAGTAAACAGTGTTCTATACACCTACTTTGGTATACCATTGTAAGTAAACAGTGTTCTATACACCTACATCGGTATACCATTGTAGGTAAACAGTTATATACACCTACATTGGTATATCATTGTAAGTAAATAGTTCTATACACCTACATTGGTATATCATTGTAAGTAAACAGTTCTATACACCTACATTAGTATACCATTGCAAGTAAACAGTTATATACACCTACATTTGTATACCATTGTAAGTAAACAGTTCTATACACGTACATTGGTATACCATTGTAAGTAAACAGTTATATACACCTACATTTGTATACCATTGTAAGTAAACAGTTCTATACACGTACATTGGTATACCATTGTAAGTAAACAGTTATATACACCTACATTGGTATACCATTGGAAGTAAACAGTTCTATACACATACATTGGTATACCATTGTAAATAAATAGATCTATACACCTACATTGGTATACTATTGTAAGTAAACAGTTCTATACACCTACATTGGTATACCATAGTAAATAAACAGTTCTATACACCTACATTGGTATACCATTGTAAGTAAACAGTACTATACACCTACATTGGTATACCATTGTAAGGTGAAAATGACTACCTCTAAAGGAATACAGAGCCGAGTAAATCAAACTTGACAGTGGTGTGTGACCAAGGGACCGGGCAAAATAGGTCAAGCCGATCAAGATAACCAGCAAAGTTTTGTAATAAAATGTCCAGCAGCAGTGTCCAAATAGCTTATCTGCCCCAATATTGAAACCTTAAACCAGACATCCATTTGATCAAAGTGTTAAAAGTATATATTTTTTTCTCTGTATAAATGAAAGATTCTAGAGAGATAAGGGCCAATGTACTGTTGACCTATGTCAGATAATTGTGTCAGACTTACCTGACTTCGCAGTCAGTAGACACAGGACCACAATCATTGCCACCTGCCGTCTTATGAGTGTCATATTTTCCACATCGGCCTCGCTGCCTACGTCACTTCCGCATTATACTCTGAGGGCACTGATGCCGTTCTGCTGGTGATCCTATTACTTCCGGTCATTCAATTGCAAGGGTCAGGCATGTTTATGTTGTATATTGTCCTCATCACAATCCTTGAATAGAAATAAATAATACCAAGTAAAACAGATAATATTCCAAGCAGCGGGAACAAAGACGTTTATCAACATCGAACGAAGGTACAGAAAACAGTCCTGTGTAGTAACTCCAGCCCGAGTGTGAAGCGGCTTGGTTACCACGCACTCTCGCGCACGTGTTTGACGACAACGTGTTGATCAATGCATCTACGATACATGTGATTCTAGAGGACGGCGACAAATAGTTTTGAAACATTCGTTTACTTCCCATTTTATGCCACGTTGTTTAACAACCATACGAATATACCGCATTGCTGTATATATACAATATGTTTTAAACGTTATCTGCACAGTATGTTGAAAACCTGGATTCGTGACCAGAATCTTCCAAAGCTGGAAAAACTCCTTTATATATAGAATTATCCGGTAAGATACACATTTATATTTATTAAATCTGTATTGATTTTTGATCATCTGAGTAGATACAAAAAAAATGAACTCTCAGTTAAAGCTCTATTATAAATGAAAACGAAATAGTTTTCTTGATTTGTAGTCTCGTAATATTTTGTAATGTTAAAAATATGACTGCCAAACTCACGCGAGCGTTATCGACCTCCACTGAACTCACCTGTAGATAGAAACGAGCTGAATGGGTGAGATCTGTGAACACTATATGTTCGACAAGATTTTACTGATTGCACGTGTCTAATTGGTAACACCACATTGACTTCATATGATGTAATTTATTAAAGGTACTAGATACACGCAGTACGCCATCTTGAAAGATAGTCCAAAATATTGGCAAAATCATGCGAAACACTTTCTGTTTTGGCAAACATACCATGCAGTCCGTCAGGAATGTATAGAGCGGCGTGTTCTAATTTCCATTGCTTATTCTCCGCTAATTTAAATACCATAAGAACAATAAAGTGAGAACAGGGAGAAAAAGAAATTAAATACTAATTTAAAACACGCTTGGGAATAGATCCATAAAACGTTTGACAGACACTCACAAAAACATTCACATGAGACCGAGTTAAGCGCTTTCGGGACGTAGATAGAATGAAAGCATGTGGAATCACCAAGCACAACCGCTGAAAATAGGCCCAAGTTAACAGCGGATTTCTCAATAAACGTCATGCTGTATTATTCGGCTCGTATTGAATCATTGGCCAGCATCATTGCGATGTTTGCTCGATGGCCAGAACGCGCCCCTAGTCATGCTCTCGTGCCGATTGAGGAGATACCAGTCGGCTCGTGTCACTGTTGGGGACACGTTACACCGCCAGAGTCGGGCGATTAAAAATAATTAACTGATATAGAATTGGAGGTCATCGTTGAAGGACAGGGACGAGTAACGATGTGATACACTGTACACACACGGGAGAATGTGGTCAACAAAGAAAGCTAGGCCGATATTCCCTCTTGGTGTATTTTTTAAAGGGAAGGGGGATTGCTTTTTCATTAACCAGACTTTCTATAATGTTTCACTGTAGGTACGGGTAAAAGGTACATTTGTATGTCGGCGTTTTTGTTTCGATTTTTTCTCATGTTTTAATACATTTGTAATTTGTTTTCTTTTAATATTGTCATTATAATCTTAAAATAATGATATTGGATTTTTTTTTACAAAGGAGGTGATATTAAAAAAAAATTAAATTGGTGCTAGAAGTGAAGGATTTGTTTTCATTTTAAAATAGTTCATTGTATATGAAACATACAATAGGAATCGGAGCTGGAAGTGGATGATTTATTTTCATTTAAAAATACCTTATTGTATATGTCTAACATAGAATAGAAATTGATATATTTATTACGACAGGAAAACGACTAGAGACGACGTTATACAACACATATCTCCGACCTTGGACATACAACTTTCTTTTTTCAAAAAAATGCTTATCGATTTTGTGCGTGAGAGAGAGATTTTAGTTTTCGTCAATAGTTGTATTGCACAAGACGATACTTTGGGTTGGAGATTCGACATTCTCATAAAAACAAAGATATATTTGTCGTTTACATTACAGGAGGGATGTGCTTTGACTTGCTGAGTGGTCGACTTCCATGAATATAGGCCAGTATACATTTTATTATCTGTTAACTGTCTTGTACTGCTTGTAAATTATTCAAAATCGATTCTCATTTTAAATGTTACGACTCGCATAATTGGAAGGCATTAAGTGGCAATCAAAAGTACAGTCAGACGCATGCGCGGATAAGCGTGATGATATGGTCTGAAATTATACAAGTACGTTTACCTAATATGCAATTCGTCAAACAATTTGATACAATTTATGTACCAAGATAGTTTAAGTAAAAAGCACTTCATATTATATTATTTAACGGTCTATATAATGCCGATTTCAGGTGAGAAAATATCTAAAGCTCGCGCTCAAATTTTCTATTAAAAAACATATATTTTCATGCAGGAATCTATATTAACTTTGAAAAATGTATCCGAGTACCAAATGTCTCCAGGTTTCTTTGAGTGTATAAACAATAAAAATACAATATTTAAGTGAAACACGACCAAACAAGACTTAAGATTTGAAATACATTATGTACTATTTTTTCAAGTGCCAGTTGATAAGACAACATTAACATTGATGAGGGTATCAAACACAGTTCCGTTCAAACATATTTCATGATGCACGTTAGCGCATCTTGGAGAATATGTTTGAACGGAACTGTGCTGCATAGAAAGTTCACTAGAAAGTTCACTGAAGCATGTAATTAATAAAACAACAAGAAAAAGAAGAATAACAAAACCAAGATTCGACCTCGGAATTAAAGAACAAGATAATTCGAACTCAAAGTCCATAAAACTATGCAAAATAAACATAAGAAAGATTTACATGGAGTCCCTAGAAAAAGAACAGGGAGAAGAGACGTCCGCTATGTAAATATATATACATGTAGGTTAAGTCCAAGTACAGTTGTGGGACCACACAACGCACCAAAAATAGCGTGCGCACACCGTGCATACATCGTTCACACACCGTCCGCACTTCGTCCACACATGGTGCGCACAACTGTGCGATTTAGCAATCGTTCGCCCCGTTGTGCGATTATCTCCGCACAACTGTGCGATTTGGTATCATTTGAAGATCAAAATTACGGAATGACAAAAATACGGAAAGCTTGTATACGATAATGTACACTGTGTATATATCTGTAATTTCTCATCACAATATTCAAGATTACACAATTTCACAATGCGTGTTACACAGTATTACAGCGACCGTAAGGCTGTCAAGAATGGGTCTGGCTCCAAGGTAACAGAACAGGTAAATAACAATTTTATGAGTGTCCGGAGTTTTACCTGACCAGTGCCTGGCACACAGAGCTGATATGCGATACCGTTTGACCGTAATGAATAGTATTTGTTATTTGCATTCGTTTGCCTATGGCTCCCCTTCACCTGGATTTTCACACCCCGGCCTTACCCGACGAGTTACGTAAGTGCCCCAGGCGGGGAGAAAACTACGGTCCAGGTTCATGTACAAAGTAGTTATGTTTACCTGTATACGGGATTGTGTTGTAATTTTACATGTGACGATTAAGTTTGTTTAAAAACACAGAAAACACAATTTCTAAATATAAGAATGTATAGACAGAAAGATAATTATATAAGTTTATAGATGTTGCTAGAATATAGAAACATACGTAAACATCAAGTTTATATGTTTAAACACAAAACCGTATAAATTGTTAAGGCATTCCTCAATTTACACCAACCACGATTGTTATCGCACAGCGTCCGTCCATCGTGCGCACAGATGTGCGCAAGCAATGATCGTCCAGCTTTTTATCGTTCGCCCATCGTGCACACACCGTTCACACACCGTGCACACATCGTGCGCACACCGCACATCGTGTAACGTTGTGCGATCCCACAACTGTAATACCGCGTTCTCGTATCGAGAACTCGGGTAGTGCACCAATACCATGAGAAATACTACATGTAGTGTGGAAAAGCATCGACGTCCATATCACACGAAGAGGTAGCCTATTTCCTTACGAGATTATGATGGCGGCCATGTCACACAAAGAAGTAGCCTATTCCCTTACGAGATTATGATGGCGGCCATATCACACAAAGAAGTAGCCTATTCCCTGACGAGATTATGATGGCGGCCATTTCACACAAAGAAGTAGCCTATTCCCTTACGAGATTATAATGGCGGCCATATCACATAAAGAAGTAGCCTATTCCCTTACGAGATTATGATGGTGGCCATATCACACAAAGAAGTAGCCTATTCCCTGACGAGATTATGATGGCGGCCATATCACACAAAGAAGAAGCCTATTCCCTTACGAGATTATGATGGCGGCCATATCACATAAAGAAGGAGCCTATTCCCTTACGAGATTATGATGGTGGCCATATCACACAAAGAAGTAGCCTATTTCCTTACGAGATTATGATGGCGGCCATGTCACACAAAGAAGTAGCCTATTCCGTTACGAGATTATGATGGCGGCCATATCACACAAAGAAGTAGCCTATTTCCTGATGAGATTATGATGGCGGCCATATCACACACAGAAGTAGCCTATTCCCTGCGAGATCATGATGGCGGCCATATCACACACAGAAGTAGCCTATTCCCTGACGAGATTAGGATGGCGGCCATGTCACACAAAGTAGTAGCCTATTTCCTGACGAGATTATGATGGCGGCCATGTCACACAAAGTAGTAGCATATTTCCTGACGAGATTAGGATGGCGGCCATATCACACAAAGAAGTAGCCTATTTCCTGACGAGATTATGATGGCGGCCATGTCACACAAAGAAGTAGCCTATTTCCTGACGAGATTATGATGGCGGCCATGTCACACAAAGTAGTAGCCTATTTCCTGACGAGATTATGATGGCGGCCATGTCACACAAAGTAGTAGCCTATTTCCTGACGAGATTAGGATGGCGGCCATATCACACAAAGAAGTAGCCTATTTCCTGACGAGATTATGATGGCGGCCATGTCACACAAAGAAATAGCATATTTCCTT